TAAAGCTGCTACCATCAGTAAACCAAGAATCAGCATCTTCCAGAGGGTTTTCTTTCAAGTCTGGTCGGCTCGAATATACAGTCTCTATGGTGGTCAAGCAGTCGTGTGTCAGTGGTTCTGTCGATTGTTCCTGCAAAAGGATGCTGGATTCACAACGTTAGTGACCACAATTTCTGTATCTTCCTGTTTTACAATGGTGGCCTGGTATTTAAAAAAAAAACATCAAAGAGATAACCAGTGGGCTCATTTCTGCTCCAGGACTGCAGATACCACATGGGACACTAGTACAGTAATCTTTTGTCCCAAAGTGAATTTGCAAGCCTCTTCAATATTCGTGATGACTGCTGCCATAGCTTTTAGGCATCTAGGCCATCCCTTGCTCGCTTCATCCAGCTGTTTTGAAAAATAGGCCACTGCCCTTCTGTAGGGTCCTAGTTTCTGACCAAGGACCCCCAAAGCTATTTTCTGTTCTTCACAGGAATATAGCCAAAAGGATTTAGTCACATCCAGGAGTCACAGAGCTGCAGTACTCATTAGCTCTGTTTTTTAAATTTCTAAAAACCCCCTCTGCTGTATCAGTCCATTCTAAAGAGGGAGAGTTTCCTTTCAACAGTTCATATAGTGGTCTTACCAGAACACCATAATCATGGATCCAAAGTCTGCACCATCCAGTCATTCCCAGGGATGTCCGGAGCTCCTTGACGGTCGATGGTCATGGAGTCTTGCAAATGGCTTCTTTTCTAGCAGTTCCAAGTTCTTTCTGTCCTCCTGTTATTTCATATCCTAGGTAGGAAACTTGGGTTTGGGTTAGTTGGGCCTTTTGTCTGGATACCCGATAACCATTCAGTCCCAGAAAATTTAATAATTCCACTGTCCACTGGATACATTCTTCCTTTGTTTCTGTAGCAATTAACAGGTCATCCACATATTGTAACAAGAGTCCCCTGTTTGAATAGGTGGCTTCCATGATTCTAGTTCTCATGCTAGCTGATTTCCAAAAATTGCTGGACTGTTTTGTTGTTTTTTTTGTGTTTGTTTTTTTTTTAACCCTTTAGGTAATACTGTCCAAGTTAATTGAGTTTCCCTTCCTGTGTCAGGATTTTCCCATTCGAAAGCAAATAATTGTGGCTTTCTTTGGCCAACGGTAAGCAAAAGAAAGGGTCCTTTAAATCCAGGATGGCAAACCCTTTCTGATTATTATTCAGTTTAGTCAATCAGTCATATGAATTAACTACTACTGGACGAATATCTTCTGCAATTTTGTTGATTGCCCTGAGATTGTGAATCAATCTGCAACTTATCCCATCATATTTCTTTACAGTCCAGATAGGAGTATTATATTCTGATTCACATTCAATTCATAATCTATATTTTAAAATTTATCATTTTTTTTTATTCCCTTTGATCTTCTAATTTTAAGGGATACTGTTTTATTCTAATTGGGTAGGCCCCCCTTTTTATTTCCACTTTAACAGGCAAAGCATTTTTCGCCTTACCTGGAACTTCAGATGCCCATACTCCCACATATACCTGATTAACGATTTCTTCTATTTCAGGGAGGTCCTCCTTTTTGCTTTTCTGTTGAATTAAAGATAAACTCAAAACTGCAATTAATTGATTGTTTTTAACTCTGAATTCCATTTTGCCTTCCTTAAATGTTGCTTCTCGCCCTAATAAAGATTTTAGGGAATTTGGCATGCAGAAAAATTTATGCATTCCTATTTGTTTTCCCAATTTGTACTTTAAAGGTTTCAGAAAGAATGCCTCTTTTTTTTTTTTTTTCTCTTGGTGGCCAGTAGCTCCCACATCTGTACCGAATTCTTTTCTCTCCGATTTAACACCAAATAAGTTGCTCCTGTATCCACTAACATTCCACTTTATTTCTCTTAGTCCCTAGTTTTAATGTAACCAGTGGATCTGCTAGGGTAGATTCCCCAGGTCCCCATCAGTTTAGTTCCAGTTCAGTCACCGGAGCCACCCCATGGCACTGCCCCCCCCCCCAGGGCAGTCTCACTTCCAGCGTCCAAACTCCCCATAGCACGCACACCGATCCGGTCCCACAGAAGAGGAGCCCACTCCCCCACCTCCTCCCGACATCCCTCCTCCCACGCTCAAACACTGGAGCTGCTCGAGCTCCCCTCCTTTCCCCCTTGGTTTTCCCTTTTTTTTTTTCCTCACAGCTGCTCACCCTGCTCTGCAGGGGCTGCAGATGCCTGCCTCTGCAACAGCACTTCTGGTTTAACCCCTTCTTAACTCTGAATGTGGATGTGCCGCTTGTTGCCAGTGACAGAAATCTCTTCCTCCTTATCAATATCAGATAGGACAGATGCTCCTCTGGGAGGTACCTGTGGTACATGATTTTCCAACCTATCTTCCTGATTACTGTTTTTTAACTTTAAGCATCTTTCCCCAATATCACAGGCTGAGCATCTCCAGCTTAGCTTTCAGTTTTTCCCTGTCCTTTTCCAAACCCAAAATGAAGGGATCTGGCGGAGCTATATTAATTCTGCATTCAGTCTGTTATTCCATGTGATTTCTTAAAGTGAAAAACTTATCTGCCTACATTACTTCATCCCATTTTCCTTGCCCCCTCAAAACAACATTAACTGTAGCACTGTATTATAGTTCAGAGTTCCATTTTTAGGCCATTTTTCCTGATCTTCCAAAGTATACAAAAGCCACCATTGGTTACAATATTTTACCAGTGTTTTCTTATTTACAGAGCCCCCAGGAGACCCTCCAAGTTCTTTCCAGTGTGCAAAAATGCACCCAAAAGGACTCTTTTTCAAGGTCTCTTCACTCTGCTGATTTTCCATTATCAATCTCACATTCACACACACACAAACGGGATCCCCCAGACACACTCCAAATAAGACGAATACCAGTAGAATCAAAAGCAATCCTTCCTAACCCCTATGGCTCAGACCATATTGTAACATTAATAGGGGGATTTCCTTGAACCCTTTATAGTTGACCATCCTGTCAGTGTCCCAAGAAGGATGAGACTCTTGTGTCCGGCCAGCCTGTCTGCATCCCACTGTGGGAAGCATACTGAACAGCCCACTGTATCGGAGGATGATTCTACTAACCTATTCAGGGACCCACGCTGACAGCATCACTGAATCAAATCCTTTATGGGCTGTTGATAGCACACTGGACCCAAAACCATTTCCACAAGGCACCCCCAGTGCCTTGTAGGACCCAAACCACAAGATGCCCCCTGCTTAGTTATAACAGTCTGTCACTGATACCACACTGAGACCAAAACCCTTAATGTAACAAGCCACAAAATCAAATGCCAGCAAGATCCAAAACCATTTTCACAAGACACCCCCTGCGTCTTGCAGGACCCAAACCACAGGAAGCCCCCTGCTTCTTGTGGGTGTATACCAGACGGATGCTAGTAGCTTGGTATATTCCTTTACCTACGAGATTTCCTATCTTGTTTTAAGGAAGGCCTCCAAACCTTGCGTATGCTTACCAAACCAGCCCAATTACCAATTTAGTCTTTATGCAAGATGCCCCCTGCACCTTACAGACTATACAAAAGAAAAGAATACCTTTTATGAAGATGGGCCTTGTCTGCTCCCGCAGTGATCCAAATGAGTCGAGGGGTCCCTCCGGGAAAAATTCCCGAGGGCCCTAGGGAGCCCTGTCCTCAGCGGGTCCTGCAGCTGAGCAGAGCCGGTCCCATCTGGGTTGCCAAATTGATTTGGAGAAAGCTCCAGGAACAAATTTGCCAACAGTTTTCAAGCTGACAAGCAGGTATTCTTTATTACGGCCCGGGAGCAGGGGGATAATCCTAGCTGCTCACCCAATTGCCACACAAGCTGTCCTTTTATTGCCCCGGGCATACATACATATTCACGAGGCTACAAAACGCATCAAATCATTTTGAGAAAGTTCCCCGCATGCATACAGAATTGTGGTGGTGGTCTCTGAGGGTCGTTTACTTCTTCCAACAATCTTCATCACTTCTGGCAGCCTTTGAAGCACGCGCAGTAGATGCTCATACCAGTTTAATTGTTTCGTTAGCACCAGAGACATAATAATCCTCCCATCCTCCTGCTTATCAGTTAGTTTAACTGTAGCCCAGCCTGGACACCTGCGGTTCCCAGATACTCCTTATCCCTGTGTCCTGTTATTCTAGACTGTTTTTCTTAAAACTGTGTCAACTATAACGATTTATCTTGTGAGAATTCTCAGTATGTTCTCTAGCTGTACTCTTTTTTTTCTCTATGTATCATGCACCTCAGTAATTTTCCATTGCTACTGTTACAAAGCCATCAAACTTAACATTACTTAAAACTAATTCTAAAGGTTTCTATATTCTATTTTGTGATTTTGTGCCCCTTTGTCTCAGTCTGAAGCAAAGTAGCAGAGGGTAACTTTAGCTTGAAAGCTCTGCAATGCAGATACTTGTATTGGATATCTGGGTGCATGCAGCTCCAGGAACAAGGTAGTGCAAGTCCATGCCTCTACCAAGTGTGGGAAAAATATTTTTTTCTGCAGGTCTTACATACATATTCAATATTCAGAAAAAAAAACCTGAAACCAAAACCAGACTAGAAACTGCAGTGTGGGATGTTGCATTGTTTTAATGCTTCTGAATTATATTTTCAGTTCAGAAAGAAATGTGTATTTACTCATAACTGCCTGCCTCTAAAGCTCAAACAATATATGTTATTGGCAGAACTACCGCAAAAATGGAAACTGAGTTGCTGTAATTTCTTATAACCTTCTTTATCACTCCACAGAAAATAGCATTTCTTGAATTCCTGTATATTAACCAATTGAAACAAATTGTTCTAGCTTAATAGTATAGTTCAATTAGAGCATAAATGTAGGAAATAAGGTAATCGCATCAAAACAGATATTAAGCTTAACACATTACTAGCTGTGTCCCAAGATTAATCAAGATCTGTGCAAAGATCACATTTTAGTTTGTTTTAAAGATAACGTGGGTTGCTTTGTTTTTTTCTTTAAATATTATTTTTCAGAATGACCATTCTTCCTCCAGCAGAGAAGCTGAAGGTCCTACTGGAGAAAATGAAAGACTTCCACATAAAGTTTCTTGAAAAATATGCATGAAACTACTGTGGCTTTTTCTCCTCATCCCCTCCACTTCAAGGTGAATGCAGAAAATGAACAAAAATATGCTGAGAATGTGCTTTTCATCTAATTTAACTAAATTCAAAATAGGTAGAACCAATTTCCAATACTGCTACAACTTATTGGACTATTAAATTTAATGTCTGGTATAGAATATGTTGTTACACCAGCTTTTTTTTTTTTTTTTTAAGGGAAAGGGAAGAACATGAACAAAAAGTGGTGAGAAGACAGATTCAGTAAAGGATTTTGTGCCTTGACTGGAAGCTATAGTCACGAACTTTTGACTCAATAGGCTGGGGAAAGGAGTTGCTCATTGAAGATGCTACTGTTGTGTGAGTTTTTTTGACAAAACAAATGCCAAGAGCAATTGTTTAGCTAGGAACGTGTTTCCCATCTTAAAATTCTACTAAACAAAAATTCAAAAACCTACATTATAGGTATTGTTTGTGGTTTTTTTTTTTTTTTGGTGATGTTAAATATGAAGTGAAGAATGTAGGTACAGTTTGCTTATTAAAAAAAATAAATAAAAATCTTTGACAGATATGTACAGATCCCTTTGAAATTCTGTTAAAAGAAATCCTGCCATCACAGAATAATATGACTGGAACATACAGTTCTGATCAGAGAAGTGAACATGGTGTCTCCTTGAACCCTATTTTTACGAAACCAAAACATGATGAGAAATATTAGCTTCTTGTTCATGCTGTTCAACACGCTATCCCAGCATAAGAGCACTGAACACTTCCTTTCATAACAACTCCATGAGTCTCCTTTTAGCTCATATCTTATATATACATTGAACACCATTTGTTTGGAACCACAAGAGACCCATTAGCTGGCCAAAATCCTGCTTGAATGGCAAGGACTAACAAATGTTCTTTAGCAGGAGAAAGGCTGGGGGTGCTTTCTAATGAAGGAAAAGGTATTTAAAGGAAAATATCTTTATGCTTGTGCAAGACAGCAGTACAGCTCACTTAAATCTTCCACAGTCATACTGCTGGCTGATGACCCTGAGTGCTTATTAAAACCCAGTATTAAAAAAAAGGTCACCATCTAGGAGTACAGCTATATTACTCTACTAATCTATGCCAGTTTCCCTGAACAACAAAAGAAAGCTTCTGTTTCTCTAGAGCTGGAAGATTAACACCTTCTTCTAGCACTGATGAAGGACTGAAAGAAGATAGCTTCCAGTATTCAGCCATGAAAGGATTAGAATTTGTCAGGCCTTAGGCTCAACATTTACAATGTTTAATCATTAAGAATATCTCATTTCATCTTGTCATTATTTTTAAGTTATTTAGAAGTAAACCCATTTTTATGTCTACTAGCACTTTGTTAGGCTGCCTTTGTAGCTGGTTCAACTTCCTGTGCTGATCCAGGTTACTAAAGCCAAGGGCTAGAGAATCACCATAGGGATAAAGCCTGTGCCAATCTATTATGTGCGAAAGATGAGATGTTGACCATAACTGTCCTTGCAACAGCAGCCACTGGTCTATGACATAGCTTTAGCAGTTGATGTACTTCTCACAATTCTTTACTGAAGTCTGTGAGAAGAATTTGGTACTTCTCAGTCACCTACCAGTGGTTCCAGGTTCATAAATTAAAATGGCACACTGATAGACAAAGCTACTATGAAGGCTTAGAGAAAAAAAATAATAAAAAAATTCTTTTATCCATGTAGAAATGGACTTTTTGGAGGTCAGCAGACTGAGAACACTTATGTTACTACTATCTGTTGATAAATACAACCTTTTATCTGTTAGCACTCTCTACATCCTTAATATGCACTAATAAAAAAAATTCAGAAAGCAAAACCATACTAAGAGGTCAGAATCATAGAATCATAGAATCATAGAATCATAAAATAGGGTTGGAAAAGACCTTAAGATCATCTAGTTCCAACCCCACCTCACACTAAACCATGCCACCCAAGGCTTCATCCAACCTGGCCTTGAACACTGCCAGGGATGGAGCATTCACAGCCTCCCTGGGCAACCCATTCCAGTGCTTCACCACCATAAGAGGAAAGAATTTCTTCCTTATATCTAATCTAAACTTCCTCCATTTAAGTTTCAATCCCCTACCCCTTGTCCTGTCACTACAGTCTCTAATGAAGGGTCCCTCCACAGCATCCCTATAGTCCCCCTTCAGATACTGGAGAGAAGTCTGGGTTGAGGACACCAGAATTCTTCCACTTTTAAATCAAAATATATCATCAACTGTGTTTTTTCTAAACATTCTATTATAGTGCCTTTTATGTTTCTGGCATTATAAGGGATAACTATTTTTCCTGATGCATCTTATATGGAAGGGTGATGATTTCTATTATCCATCCACAATATTTGTATGTATTCAGATAAGGTTAATGTACATTTTTGTGGTACAATCCTGTAAACATAAGAAAAGATGCTTATTTTCAACGTCTTTGAAATATTTCATTAGTAACAGACAATCCTTACTTTCAAATGCATGCTTCTGAGTTTGATTCTCCTACACGTACTTCAGATGTATGAGACTTCCAAATAATAAAGCACATGTTAAAAAAAAAAAAAAAGTAATAGTTCTCCAATTCCTATGTCACTGAAGCCGCACTTGCTGGATTGCACTGTTGTCGTGGTTTAAGCTCAGCTGGCACCCCAGAACCATGCAGCCACTCACCCACTTCCCCTCCCTTCTTCCCCCTGCTCCCAGAGGGATGGGGAGGAGAATCGAAAGAATGTAACTCCCATGGGTTGAGATAAGAACAGTCCAGTAACTAAGGTATAACACAAAACCACTACTCCTACCACCAATAATAATAATAATGATAAGGGAAATAACAAGAGAAGAGAATACAACCACTCGCCACCCGCCAACCGATACCCAGCCTGACCAGAGCAGTGATCTAGCCCTTCTGGGTAACTCCCCCCTGTTTATATACTGGGCATGATGTGCTGTGGTATGGAATACCCCTTTGGCTACTTTAGTTCAGGTGTCCTGTATCTGTTTTCTTCTGACTTCCCCTCCTCCCTGGTAGAGCATGAGACTCAGAAAGTCCTTGGTCAGAGTAAACATTACTGAGCAACTACTAAAACCATTGGTGTTATCAGCGTTGTTCCCAGGCTGAAAGTAAAAAACACAGCACTATACCAGCTACTAAGAAGGAGAAAAATAACTGCTACTGCTGAACCCAGGACAACTATGAAGCATTAAACTTCATGTTCAAATAGTATTTACATACCCATCTACTTGATCATTAATTTCTGCATTACTCCAATTTATGGACTTGAAATTTGTCAAACTTGTTACCACAAAACTATTCTCTGTACACAGAGATGGTCTTAGGCATGTTTTATGCTCATAATTAATTATATCTTTTTATGTAAGGAGTTGTAACCAGGAGCTAAGCAAGCCAGACTTCTCTCTTCATAGAGGGGAGCAATCGGTCAGGTAAGGCTGATCAGTTGTGGCCCGAAAGCTTTGGTGAGGGGTTTGTTTGGTATTATCAGTTGTTTCCTTCTAAAAGAAGTCTTACATGGCTTGTTTGAGATTAAACTTGCAGAGCAACATAATGTTGTCTTTTTGCAGTGATACCTCAGGTGACTTTAGCGGTGTTTGTTTGGTAATTCAAAAGGAAATTAAGTTTAGGGAAAGGGACACTAGTCCTGCTTCCCTATGCACACATGCATATGCCAGCACCACTAAACAAAAAAGAAAACAAAGCAGGCTATTCTCTTATTTGTACTGAGTATTTGAGTGTTTTCTGGAGCAGAAACATTTTCCTGTTTTTTGAGGGAGTAGGTTGATTGTTTTACAAACAAGAGCATCATGGTCTGATTTTAATTCATAATGTATATTATGAATTGTCAGTCAGATTTTGTTGCAGCTTTTTTTTGAGTGACGTAGGATGTCCCTTGGTTGAAGGAACTGGGGGGGGGAGGAGAGTTAGTCTGGAGAAGGCTCATGGGACCTTATCACTCTCTACAGCTATCTGAAAGGAGGTTGTAGTGATGTGGGGGTTAGTCTCTTCTCGATCAGGATGAAGGAGTTGATGAGGCTTTCTACAGGCAACTGGAAGTAGCCTCGCGACTACATGCCTTAGTCCTCACGGGAGATTTTAACTATCCTGATATTTTCTTGAAGACTAACACAGCCTTCAAGAATTCAGTCTAGGAGGTTCCTCCAGTGCACTGATGATAACTTCTTAATGCAAATGGTGGACAAACCAACTAGGAGAGGAGCAATGCTAGATTTAGTACTCACCAGCAAGGAGGGTTTGGTTGAAGGGGTGGTGATCAATGGCAGCCTTGGCTGCAGTGACCATGAGATGCTGGAGTTTAGGATCCTGTGTGGGAGGAATAGAATACCTAGCAAGGCCACAGTTCCAGATTTCCAAAGGGCCAACTTTGGCCTGTTCAATCAACTGCTAAGAGAAGTCTCATGGGAAGGGGTACTAGGCGGTAAAGGGACTCAAGATAGTTGGTCAGCATTCAAGGACCACTTCTTCCAAGCTCAGGATCTGAGCATCCCAATGGTCAGGAAATCAAGTAAGGGAGCTAGGAGACCAGCGTGGTTAAACAAGGAGCTGCTGGGCAAACTCAAGTGGAAAAGGAGAATCTATGGATTATGGAAAGAGGGGCTGGCCACTTGGGAGGAATATAGAACAGTTGTTAGAGGATGTAGGGAGGCAATTAGGACAGCTAAGGCCTCCTTGGAACTTAATCTTGCTAGTCAGGTTAAGGACAATAGAAAGGGCTTCTTCAAATACATAGCAAATAAAACTAACACAAGAGGCAATATAGGCCCACTGCTGAACGAGGTGGGTGCCCTGGAGACAGAGGATATAAAGAAGGCAAAGGTGCTGAATGCCTTCTTTGCCTCTGTCTTTACTCCTGCAGACTCTCCCCAGGGGCCCCAGATTCCTATTGCCCCAGAAGGAGTCAGGACAAAGGAGGAGTTTGCTTTGGTAGATGAGGATTGGGTTAGGGATCAGCTATGCAATCTGGACATCTATAAATCGATGGGTCCGGATGGAATGCACCCACGGGTGCTGAGGGAGCTGGCGGAGGTCATTGCTAGGCCACTCTCCATCATCTTTGGTAAGTCGTGGGAAACGGGAGAGGTGCCTGAGGATTGGAGGATGGCAAATGTCACACCAGTCTATAAGAAGGGCAA